CCAGTGAAGGTATACCAGAAAGATGAGGCTGAACAAACTATCCCACCTAAAATATTGGCAAACTCATGAATAGATGGGTATTACACCGTTTTAACGACTCTAAAACACATCCAAAATTTCCGCACTTTCAATCAATGATACACGGAGAGTGCTGCTGACACTTGTCAGCAATTCTAATGAGAATCTTTCTGTGTCCATGATCATTCAAGTGAAATAACATGCGTGAATGAGCTACTTATGTCCGCAAGGTGCTAGTCTCTACATACCAAGAACAGAAGAGGATGAGATAAAACTCCCGTCACTGGTGCTTATAATGGTTTATCCTTCCAATCTGCTGCGTCAAAGTTTCCTTCGCTAAAAGTTGGAACACTTCAATTTCTTATCATTCATATGCAATATTTTTTCCAGTTTCCTGCCACTATCAATTTTTCATTGATAATTAATCATTCCCCATTTCCTTGCATTTCCTGTGTTTCTGTATTGAGACTATCCTCTATACACCTTTCGTATACTATCTCAACTTTCTCTATGCATAGTTCCACTGGATTAATATGCACGTCCAGAACATAGCCTTGCTGTACTGTTCAAATATTCGGGATGATCTTGGTCTTAGCATGTGAACAACAACAGACTCATTGATTATGAGAGTAATTATCAATCGACGTCGATTATGTTTTTGCAAACATACAATAAAGTAAGATTTGTTGCTCTTTCTCATTTGTCCATATTGTGACAGGAAAGGAAGATAAGAATTACTCTCTTTGCCAAAAACGTTTTTCAAGCTGCCCTTTCATATTCGGTATGCAATATAGATTAGAGGACAGATGACAGTTTTGGATTTGTTAAGAGAATTGGATAGCAATATCTCCTTCTCAAACAGCTATAGTCTCTTCCTTTCCATCACAACATGCACAGAAGCAGATCCACTTGTGAATCTTTCTTTGGAGTAACATCCATATTGTTCAGCATCAATTCTGTTGCATTCTGCACAGATTCCAATGACTTCTCGCTCGTTACATTTTTGGATATCAAGGTCAATAGAATATCATCTTCAATTGGACCCTAAAGCCTTATGTTGAATGCAATTGATTGTTCATGATGTGCCTGTAGCCCATTGGGGTTACTGTATATGCCAGCATCCATCACAAGCTCGACTGTTATCTTAACTGCTTCAGGGCCAGACACCAGCATCCTCTTTAACAGTGTTTCAGGATAATCTAACAGACCAGTTGCTTCACTATCAACTTTCACAATCTTGTTGTTTTGCTCGTGGATCTTATAATCTGAAATTGGGGAGAACGAAAGGTTTGTTTTCTGTGGTGTAATCGTATCATTCATTCATGAATTATATGAGCATGGTTAGATGTTTAACTTCCATTTTCTTCAAACACTGCACGACTACTGGAAACTATCTAGTATAATGAACTATCATCCAAGGTAAAAAAATCATAAACACACTTGCTTCAGTTCATCGAGATACCAATGGAGAACCAGAAGACTATGGAGGACCGGAAGTGTTTCCAGTTCTATATTTTTATACCAGTAATGAATCTGTGTCAACTCGTCCATTCTAATTTCACTGAAACTAACCTCTGGACCTTCATTCCCAAGTGTATTGTAATGATTCCAGTTTCTGGCCAACAAAATATATAGAACAGCAGCAGTAAAATAATGAGTATAGCATGTATGTTTCTTAAAGGAACCAGAGAGAAAAAACAGATTATAGCTGGGGTAGTAACATTTTATTTCACAAGAATTTTTCTCCAGCCACTGTCAGGTAGCTATGTTTATATGGAGTCCACCCTTTCTGACAGTAATCTTTTCCATGTCGAAATCATAAGGAAACAGCCAGTGCAACTATTTTGCTACAGTACAGATGGATGAATCAAATGTGACATGTTGTATGTGTTCAGGACTTATTTTTACTACTTTATGTTTGATAATGTTCATTGTGTAATATAGCATAGCTGGTGCTACAGAAGAATCTTTTAGCAGTAGAAAAAGACGAGCATACTGGATTGGTCTTCACTGATGATAATTTTGTATGGAAAGTGGACCATCTCAACCCTTTATTGTCAGAAGGGTTTCACAAGACGTCATGTCATCATAAGGGTGCTGGATAAGAGATATTCCTATTCCATTATAATGGCTCTGTTGATGTGTCTGGTGAGAGATTTGGTGTATATAATCATTTCTCAACCGACATGTTGTGGTTTACTGTGGTTTATAGGTGTCCTTATCAAAGCAGCTAGTATACAGCAGCTAGTGATTCTTAACCTTCTTTTCTTGGCTCAAGATCTAACTGTAAACACTGATGGCTACTCACGACCAAGCAAGTGTCTTTAGTACAAAAACGCCTGCTTATTAAATCCTTACACGTAAAGAAATACATAAACTATTGATTATTTCAAAAGTCTGATGATCCAATTTTGGGTCTCTAGTGCGAATGACACTTGAAGGTAAATATATTAACAATAAATGTTTTAAAAAAAGTACAGCTCCATTGTTGCTTACTAAACTACAGTGATTAAACAGTGTAAAACGACATCATCAGTGTGTGTCAGCCGCTATCATTTTCGAGATCAGAAAACGCTACCGTAACTTTATATAGTCCTGATGATACGTGTCAGAATACTTAAAAAGAGGGATCATTGTGTGTGTGTGTTTATCATAATCGTGTTTAAGAGGTCAATGATGCAGTCTGTGACATATTTGGTAAGGATAATACGATATGTTTAGGTTCAAATATGCTATAGGTGATGCGATATTAGATGCTTGTAATGGCAGATAATGGCATGTGTCTTGTACAGGTGGCAAACATTGTTTAAAGAAAATTACTAAGAAAAACCCAAATTTAAGGGAAACATTGGAACCCAAGTAGTAGGAATGGTCTCTTCCATCAGCACTTCTAAAACAGTTTCCTACCCTATCTATGTGCCTGAAGTTCAGTAATATTGAGAATTAGCCATTCTTTCAGTCCTCCGGTGGGTCAGTGGTAAGTTTACGAACTTACAATGCTAAAATCTGGGGTTCGATTCCCTAGTGTACAGAGGGTAGACAGCCCATTGTGTAGCTTTGCGCTAAAACAGTAACAACTAACCTTTCTTTCAGCCCCTACTAAGGATATTTTTTGTCATTCGTCACCCCCAGCACTAACATCCTTTTCACTGACAGATTAGTGTCAAACACTTTAAAAACTAGTGCCAAATCAGGTTTCACAAATGTGCATTTAATGTCGTTAATGATTTCAGAGAAGACAATGCTGCTGATGAGTTCATCATGATTTTCTTCTGTTCTGGCATTTTCGATAACTATGACATGATTATACAATAACGCTAAATACTTTTTATGACATCTGGCGTTTATGACAATCATATCCCTTTCACGTAATTTAGCCAGCAGTTTTTCAGCTTGCATTGTAATGGCAGATGCACGCACATATTCAATTATTCCTGTTATTTGAACAAGAATAAGGTCATCTGGATTCATTATTTGGTCACAAAATAAATGCTTTGCTGAGACTTCTCGTGCACTATATGAAAATCGAGTACTCTTATTTGGACATGGTTCAATGCCTTTTTTTTTCTATCTAGTTTCTATGTTGTATATTTTACTTTACATGACATATAGTACTTCTCACGTCTACGAGTAAACGTTCATTTCAACCAATCTCCATCATCCAGAGAATCAAATGAAACTAGATGGAATATCGTTCTCTTTGGAATTGGCTAAATCGTCTAATAATGATTTGTAACCTACCCTTTGATCCTTCTATAAATTATTTGTTGGATAGCGTAATGTCTCGCGCATTCCAGTCTGGCATTGCATAAACCTATATGTATGTACAGATACACATGTATTATAGTAAAACGTGAAAAATGAAATGTCCTTACTCACACAATATCGTATTTTTGACACGTTGAGATGGTTATCAAAATACAGTGTTTTAAAGTATAATGAATTGTATCACACCGGTTATTGATACAAGACCTCTCGCAGTATCATAAGCGACAATCCTGCAAGGCAAATTAGGCATTTATTTGCATGTTTTGATAGAAAGAATGTACAACACACAACTAATTTGTTATATTGGATGTCCATGCTTGAAACCTTGGTTCTGCTTTTATAGATGGTGTGAAAAATGTTATTCGAAGCAAAGTTATGAGCTAAACTAATATTTTTAGCTTATGTTGCGGTCATATTGGATTTGGCCCGTTTACTCCAAAACGAGACTACTTCCAAGGTGGTGGTATCTCAATATTTAAACAACGTGTATTGGTGTACATCCAAGTAAAATACACAGTTGACCTGAAATCTGTTGAATTCCTACCTCATAGCTATAAAGTATATTCGTCTTAAACGTTTTTGATAAAGTTTTATCTAGCTATGCTCTCACACAGATGTATCAAAGAAATTAAGCCAATGTTTAATAGTACTGTTCAAAATACAATGAAACACTGTTTTATTAAATAATTTTACTATACAAAGATAAAATAAATTACTGTGAGACTGGGAACAGTCTCATACACTCTACATGTTTGGAAACGTACACAGGTGTCGTCCTAATCTTAATAGCCATGATCTATTTCTCTTAAGCTTTATCTACATTATATATTTTTTCCAGGTGAGTGATTCTTTTTCTATACATTCTATATTTTATAAGACATCCTAACTTAGTGTATTGAACATAATCATAAGAAAAGTCTTAAGTCTACTGTATTTTTATTGTGTATATGGGTTTTGTGTGTGTGTGTGTATGTATGTGGTAAATTTATAAATAATAATATATATATTGATGTAGTGCACAGTTCAGACATAATCTAACAATTCCTTGTGTAGTTTGTTCGTATTCTTTGTACAGTAGTTTTTTGCAGTTTGTAACTTCCATCTTTAAAATAGACTTGAGTAGACATTCAAGGGCATAAGTTATTCAATAAATCCAACAAAAAATAAGATTTAAGATGAAATCGTGTATAAATTAATTAAATTTTTCTCTCTAGGTTTCAGCTGTAAACAACACTGGGCTTTCGACGTTGTTCCCGGAATTCGATTGGTTGAACAAGAGGACAAAGTCGTGCCCGACATCGGGAATGAAGACCGTTGTATAAAAGCATGTTCGATCGAAAAGAGTTTTGTTTGTCGTTCTGCAATCTACGACTTCTCTACTAACGACTGTGTTCTTAGTATGCACGACCGTCGAGCGGCGCCTGAAGCTTTTAAAATGTTCTCAGAAGAAGTGGATTATCTAGAAAATCAGTGCGTTTCAGGTAAAGAATCATTTAAACATGAAATACGTGTATCTGTCATTTTGTTCTTAGAATACAAATTGGAGCTTTCTTTTTTTTTTGTACTTTCAGAACCGAGTCAGTGCATTTTTTATCAACAAAATGGAAGAATGTTAGCCCACGTGCACGTTCACTTGTCCCTCACATCTATTACCAGTGAGCGTTGTCAAGAAGCCTGTCTTAATCACAGTGATTTTCGCTGTAGGTCTTTCATGTTCGACCAAGCTCGTGCTTTGTGCCTTTTAACACCGGAAGATTCTTATTCCGCACCAGAGGACGCTCTAAACATACAGAGAGAAGAAAATGGAAATGTTTATGAACTTGGCTCATGCATTGATAGTAAGTTTCTCTTTAATTTTAAGCACATCTGTTCCAATTTACTAGTAAATTTACTTTAATTTTCACCATCAATTCTGCCTCAAAGAAACGTGACTTGACTGATAAAAGTCGACAATGAAGAAAAGTATTTAATTTAAATTTTCAATACACTCTAATAATGATACTTGAAACATTAAATATTATCGCAAATTGTTTTTACAATTAAAGAAAGATGAATTACACTTGACCCAATTAAAAAATTATGGCATTTCAATAAAATTAAAAAAAATATATTTGAACAAAGTATATACTGTCTTTTTTATTTATAATTAAAGTAAAAATAAAATAAGAATAACAAAAAAATGCTAAAAACAAATACATCTTCTTTGGTTAATGCCTTTTGTTATCGATCTAGAGATGTGCTTTCATGTAAATCAAAACTTTAGTTCTTCAGCACGATGTATTTAAATTATTGCAGTAATTAGTAGCCATACAAACATAAATAGTTGTCCTTAAATATATTATAGTTATTAAAAGAAGCTACATTTGATAATTAATATCCCATAAAAGACGAAGATTACTTATGTCTATAAAAGATTGTGCTATATTCAAATGGACCAGCATGGCCAGGTGGTTACGGCACTCGACTCGCAATCTGAGGGTCGCGAGTTCGAATCCCCATCATACCAAACATGCTCGCCCTTTCAGCCGTGAGGGCGTTATAATGTGACGGTCAATCCCACTATTCGTTGGTAAAATAGTAGCCCAAGAGTTGGCGGTGGGTGGTGATGACTAGCTGCCTTTCCTCTAGTCTTACACTGCTAAATTAGGGACGGCTAGCGCAGATAGCTTTGCGCGAATTTCCAAAACAAACAAACAAGCTATAGTCAAACCAAGCAGGATTTTTTTTCCTATGGCTATGGTTCAAGTTGTAAATTAGGATTGTTAAAACTGATGAAGATGTTAATGAGCCACAGTTGTATTAAACTTGCTAAAACAATGTATTAAATGGGTTACCAAGTCTATGGTCAAATTTTGTTAATAGAATATTTGTTAATACGCCAGCTAATAAAGACTAATAAAAAAAACAACTGATAGATAAATATAAAAAAGGTAAATAACTTGGTCATGGGGAAGTTGGTTCATTTTCAGATATTCCTGTCAACTTTGTTTGGATACAAATAATATGATGTATCCGTATCACAAGCCTAAAGTTCTAATCTTCACTTAACAACATGACAAAACGCTTTTTGTTAACAGAGAAATTCGTGCACTAAAAAGAAAGCTATAATATCTTTTGTAGAAAGTGTGGTATTAATCAAGAAATACATTTGTAATTGGGCAATAAACAGACCAGAGACGAAGATAAACAGACGCATTGTTTTCTCGACTTACAACAAAGTATTGTTTGTTTGTTATGAATTTCGCACAAAGCTCCA